AATTTTAGGCACAGTTACTGCAATTAGGCGAAGTTTACACACGCCCTTTTCTTCAGCTCCCTTACACACACCGCAACGCGTACGGTAAATCTCACTTCTACGGACTACAGTCAACGCCACTAGAAATTTTAGGCACAGTTACTGCAATTAGGCGAAGTTTACACACGCCCTTTTCTTCAGCTCTCTTACACACGCTCACTCCGTTCAATGCATGTACTGCCCGTCAACCGTACAACAATAAGAGAAATAAGCTGACCTTGTTAGAAAACGATAACCTTTTAGATGTGTCTGAATATTTGGATACTAAAATTACAAAGAAAGAAGATGAAAGGAAAAAAAGCATCGCTGTTAGTGAATACCCTTCAGAAAAGAAATTGTAGACTCGAGGGCTGTCATATTACCAAACTTGCTTACTTGTTTGTATGTGTGATTTCGCCCTGTCCCCACACCCCACGGCGTAAACAAAATTAATGAGGAAAAAAAGGAACGGGTCAATTTCCCAACATTGCGGGTTTCCGCTTTAGTCACTCTATGCTAAGCAATCCTATCGTATCGTCCTCCCACTCCCCTCTCTTCGACACGAGCACGCTTGGCGGGAACTGGTCCACCTCCCTTCCTTTTGCCCTTCTAACGCTTTAGGACTCCTCGGGGTTAAAGATATGCAGGAGGCCACAGGCCACCCCGGTGTTGACAGAGGCCCCACGGGAGAGGACGAGGGCACTATCCGGGATCGTCACTTCCGCCACCCGCAGGGTAAACTGCCGTGAGACGCGCCGCGACCACACCCCGGGGTTCACCACCAGCACCCCACTGGCCGTCGTCGGGTCGTCCAAGGGGCCCTCCACGAGGACGGTGGCGTGGGCCCCGTCGCGCACCCCCTGATGCGTCACCACGGCGAACTGCGGCCGGGTGGAAGGGGCGAAGACGACGTGAGGCATGTACTCCACCCCCTCCCCCTCCCCTTCCCCTTTTCTGACGTCCTCGCGAGCGACAGAAGGGGGGGGCGCACCCTCGTCGTCGTTCTCAACCTTCACCAACCCCTCCTCGGGCTTTGCGCGCTTTAATACCGGTGGATCGCCGGAAATCGGGGCCGTGTGGAGGCCCTCGTCATCCGGGCCGATAAAACGGAACCGGTTCCAGTTGGTTTCGGTTTGAACCCGGGGAAACTCCGCCTCGACCTCCTCGTTCTGCTGGGAAGGGGGGTTCCCGGTGTCCGGAAGCGCGTCCTCTTCGGGAAGATAGTCTATCCGCATCTTATCCAAATACTTCATATCCACTTGGGTAGCGGGCAGCTCCACGATTGGGGTATACCAGCGACTCTGAATCAACGTCTCCACAACCCGCCGGAGGCTGCCCTCCGGGGTAGGCCAGCGCTCTACCATCACATTTCGCATGACCCCCACCACATCCTCATTACACACGCCGAAATGCACACCGTTCACCGACAACCGACAGGGATTCGAACGAAAGTAGATGTCCTCGGTATCCTCTAGTGCATACGTCACCTTTGGCAAGACGGGTACCTGCATCACATCATCACAGTGCGGGATCATGACCACCTTTAGGTGAGGAAGATTCGGACGCGATGCGTAGTACTCATTCATACACCCCTCCACCGCGTCCACGTAGGAGAAAAGCATGTTCTCAAACGTCTCCACCATGTGCGGCATCCTATCCTTCTCGGAGTCCTCAAAGGGCTTCACCAGAGGACCGCCGATGATCAGCACGTCGGCGGCGCGAAACAAGGCCTGCAACGTCACGGCGCGGAGCAGCCCTATGATATCGCCGCGCGGGAACGGACCGCAGCAGAATTGGACCCGCGTCGGGACCGCCGCGGCCGTCGTGATCGCGGACCCTCCCCTTTCCGCGTGCGGCAGCGGTCGATCCACTCGCCAGGGCAACATCGGGGGATGCGGTAGGACGAGATCCCACAACAACACCCCTGTTAGCACCCCACGGGCGTCACGCTGGTGGGGCTCGCCGACGATCCCGACGGCCATCCCCGGGTAAACCCCCGTAAACGCCGGTAGGAGACGTGGAAAGAGGGAAAGACGCTGCCCTTCAAAGGCCACTGCGGCCTGCTCGGCGTCATCGCCCCAGTTCAGACTCGGCGGCGGCCCATCACCCTTCCCAGCCCCCCCCTCGCCCCCTCCTCCATTCGCGAGGCCGGCGGCCGCCGACGTCGGATCCCGCGACGTCGTCCCGTTCAAAAGCAGCGAAAAGGGACCCGGCGCGATGTCCTTCTTCAACGCCCGCAGCACAGGGAGGTAGGCGGCCTCATCTTCGAGGTCTTGAATAACAAAAAACTCCCAAGGTTGGAGGGCCTGCGCGCCGACGACGTCGTGGACTTGGGTGAGGATCCCAAGTGCCCGGTAGGCGCGCTTGCCCTCCGACCCTGTGGGCCGTCGACCCGGCGTGGGGGCGAAATCTACCGGCTGGGGGGAGCCTTGGGGAATCCCGTTGGGCTCCTCCCCAACGTCCTCGTCGGATGGTTCCATCTTGATGTCATCGAGATCCCCTTCTTCGAGCTTTGTGGGGTAGAGAAAGGGACTACTCCGAATAAAAATGCGACGGAGGAGGTGCTGGTAGTACTTTACAAGAATGCGTCGCACGGAAGGGGCATTCATGTCCTGTGTGCTGCAATATGTCATTTTATGAAAGCTTACCACACTGTGAGCATCCACCAAAGCTCCCGAATTATTTGAAGGAATAGAAGCTTTCAAATCGCGTGTAGTGACGACCTTGGGCAACTGCTGAGAAACAAATTCTCTCTCGATTCGAGCGGGTGGGTAGACATCATTCAACAAAAGCTCTATGTTTGCCGTCGCTCGCCACTGCTTATCTTTCAACATGCTTTTTAGAAATATTGTGATCACGCCTTTAACCTCTCCTTTAAAATGGGATCAGTGTGATCCCGATAGCTTGGCTGGTTTTAAAAAGACAAAACAAATATAAAAGTGGCATAAATATTAGTCTTAGGAGACAACTATTTATGTTGGTGGTATTGGGGGTTAAAGCATGATAACACCCCATATTCGATGCCCTCAGATATCGTTTCCTCGTCTTGATACGGGCGTTTATCGTTACTGGGCTCTTTCTAAACTTCATCCCTCCTCAACGCAAAAAGAAAAAAACATAAAGCTACGAAACACCCAACACATATTTTCATCACACAAATTGTAAAAAGCAGCCCAATGCTCAATTTTAGCTATCAAAGTCTAATTGTCTTCCAAATAATAATATATAGTCAGTAATCCTTTAAAAAAAATCCATGGAATTGATCTCTCTTTCTATTGCCCCTCCCAGTAATCTGACATCGGAAAAAATACCATTTATTCAACCATGTGGTTGGCCGCTGCGGCATCAAAGACGGTCGACATGTTCGTGTATTCCTTATCCCAAAGACCACCTGCGGCCGACGCTTGTGCAAGGTATCGATCCACGATATCGCTCTGCTTTCCCAGGTGAGCTGAAACCACCGCCAGATTCACCAGTGTGTTCTCGTCGCTCGATTTGATCGCGAGCGCGTCTAGCAAAGCCTTTTCCGCCTTGTCGTACATTTGCATCCCCACAAGGGAAAGAGCGAGTAAATTCAAGACCTTCACGCTATGACCACTGCGCTCAATAACGTCGGTAAACGAGTCAAAAGCCTTCTGGTAGGACTCCTTCTGCTGGGTATGTTGGGCCTCATAAAGCGCATGAATGCCGACGTAGAGCAAGGTGACCAAAGCCTCGTCGTTCGCCTTCTCCATCGCCGCGATCTCATAGCTAACCTGGTCTATTCGGTTAATCTGGATAAGCCCCTCCACCACAAGCGCATGCAGCTCGATTCGCTGCTGAGTGGCGAGCGCACCATGCGGCGCCTCAAGACCCTTCAACCACGTTTTACCAAGCGCAATCGCGCCCGTGTAGTCGTGAACGTAGAGCAGCGCCGAGCAGGCTAGAATGGCGATGAACTCATTCCCAGGCTGCACCTCAGTCGCCGCTGTGGTCAGACGTGTAAGAGGCTCCTGCACGTCAGGGCTCAGCTCCTCCTCCGACTCCGGCAGCACGGGATTTTTCGCGAGAGTGGAATTCAACCTCGCGTACTCGTAAACCGCCTTTAGACGTGGGTTGTTCTCGGAGCTATATTTGTGAAGGACGACATCATATTGGCCAAGACCAATCTGAGCACATGCTATCAAAAGTTCCTTTTCGACGTTAAACCGCGCAATATCTTCGCTTTTCCTTAGAGATGTCTTCGCACTGCTGCACTCTGAGATCACCTGGTCGTAGTTGCCAATCACTAGGGCATTGCGCGCATCAAAGAGTTCGTCAGCCATGACAATAATAATATCGGTCTTAGAAATAATGGCGAATACCAGATGGACAAAATGTGAAGAGAGACGTAAGTGCTACACACTCTGCAGTGTAATTATGAAGTTACGCTACCAAACTAGTAAAACAATGTTTATAATAATATTTTAAAAAAATGGAAGGAAACAAAAACTTGCATTCATTTCTCCTGGAAAGGACATAAAAGAAGCAGTAAATGATACTTAATAAAAAGGAGAATGGCAAGTTTTCCTACTCTCACTCCCATAATCGCCACACAATCCGCAGATGGAAGGGAGGCAGAAATGATGATTTTAGCTTTACCTACACATAAAAAAATTATTTTATTTACCAATTTCGATTACTTTTATCCTTTTATATTTCAATTAATTTGATTAAAACATTGAAAATACATACAAAATAACGCCATATTAAGATTCCCTAAACAAAAGGTTTTCAAGATATTCTTTCTGCTTCTCCTGTCAAGCAAAAAAAATGCTACTTTTTTTCAGTGTTTGGAACTAGATAAACAAGAAGTGATTCAAAACACTGAGGTGGGCATATTATAAGCATGCACCCATGTGAAAAAAAAAGCCCGATCCGGACAATGACAAAGAAAAAACAAGAGAGTAAATAGTTTTAGTATTCCTTCTTGGTACGCCCCCCTGTTCTTTTCTGTTGTTTGAAGGGCGAAGAAATAAACATTGGTTTCATCTTACAACGAAGCTCCTCAGAAGCATACATCGGTTAATACTCCCGTCAACCGCGCAATAAGAACTACATGTATCTGCGCTTTGGGAGTAATTAGATGTATACCTAATGATTTTTCCTTCCTTGGAAATCATTGCTTCAGTATTATACAGAATCAGTGTCTAGATATATACTGGAACATTTTCCAGGTGCCCTTGCCTAAAGAAATTTTCCGTGTTGGACAGATACACACACAGATCTATAGATTCACTATATAGGAGTATACACTCGTCAGTTAATACGCATACCATTCTCTGACGGTTGTATATGAAAGGGGATCATAACAACAAATTTATCGCGCTCTGATTTACTTTACAACAAAGTACTTACTCGAGAGAATAAAACCTACATTCAATACCGAGACAAAAAAAAACAACGCTTAGCAACCTTTATAAAAAACTACACTGCTTATTATTGAATATGTATATATATATAGATATAGATATAGATATATATCAAAGACGCAATACACTCCCTCTTCTTATTATTTAAGATAAATATAGAAAAGGGGTCAGATATCTGTCCATTGCTCATTGCGTATCATTTCTTTTTTTTTCCCAACTAGCAAACTCCCTCATACCTTTTCGTAGGTGTCCATTTGCTTCCCGGAGCAGCAGGGTGGTTATTGTAGTGGGGGTGCATCGACAGCTCTTCGGAGCTGTGCGCGAAGGCACAGTTCTCCCCCCAAGAGCAGTTTCCCCCGCTCTCTATGTTCATGCACATCTTCGTCTTCAGCTTGGAGCGGTCAATACCGCGATGGGGGCGAGAACCACGGTAGCCGTTCGTGCGCTCCCCACGCTGCATCACCTCCGGAGGGATCTGCCAGTGGGTGGTGCGGGTGTTGTGATCAATATAGTACATATCACCATTTCCTGTGTAAGCGACCTGCCATCCAGGCGGGAGCGTCATCGGCATTGCGGGAGCAGAGGCTGGATACCCTCCACGGCCACCACGGTACGGGTTGTATTGGAGCATAGTTGTTTTTATTTTCTGATTTTTCCTCTACGGCTTTGTTTGTTCCTTGTTTACCTTCGTTCGTTCCTTACTTAAATTAAGTTAGGTTATTTTCTTCTTTGTATATTTTCCTTTACCCACTTTAGATCTTATCTTAAAAATATGAGCCCTTTAGGTTAATGGTGTGATTAGAAAGTTGATCGTGCAAAGGTTTATTGAAACTTAAGAAAATAAACGAAAGAGGGCAAAATATCCATTTTAATGCATTTAGATCATTTTTTACTGTAGTGCTTGCTATTTTTTGCTCATTCGACGGCTAAAAGGCCGACACACGGAAGAGGATTAAAACATGTTACTCGGAAATAGCATTGGAAGCTGAAATGCGGGGAGTATATACCAATGGATGTATGTATATATATATATATATACATATATAGCAAACATCAACTGAATTCTCGAACCTTCAAAGGGGTTTTATACGGAAAATAACCCACATTATCAGGCGACTTCGCTTTCGCACTCAAGGCCACACAGGCATTCTTTGGCTCCCCTCTTCCTCTCCCCCTCCCCTCTTCAACCACAGGGGTCATGCAGATTGAAAAAAGAGAACTCCCCAACGCAGGGAGTTTTTTTTATTAATATTATCACGATTAGTCTTTATTTTTTAAGCGTTCGGTGGATTTGCCGAGACTTCTTCTTCGGCGCTGACTTTTCATGGTTAGACTCCACGATGGTGTCGTCCCCCTCTCTGGCGCGCTTTCGTTGCTCTTGCAGGATGGCCCGCACGGTGGGATCGACCCCGCTGCCTTTTTTCTTGCGTTCCTCCGAGACCTGAGAAAGCCATGCCTCGGCCTTCAAAAAGACGACGTTCTTGATCGCCTTGGCAAGCTGCTCGCTACCAGCCTCCATCATCGCGTCCAGCACGACGCGGCCTGCCCAGGGAGATACCGCGAGGTTGAAGACGTGCGGCTTCAACTCGTTCATAAGAAGCTTCCGCTCCTGGTCGAGCTTCCGGCTGCGCGTTTCATGTAGGAGAGAACGGATCACATAGCAGGCGTGCTGGTGTAGCGCGTACGAGATGATCGCGCTGGATTGGATATCGTAATGTCGACTACGATTCAACGCGCGTTGGGCCATAGGGGAAAGTTTTTGCCTTTGAGGCGCCTCCTCCTGGTCGGAGTCGGATCCTTCCGCTTCCTCCTCCTGCTCGACGGCGACGGCGGCCTCGGCATCGCGGATTAGCCGTTTCACCACCTCCACGACCGCCTCATCGGTGGCGTACGCCAACAACTTCTGCATCACGCGCGATCCCTGCGCGTGCGCGAGGGTCTCCCGCAGGTTCGCGGTGAATACCGGGAGTAAATCCTCCCGAACCATCTTCTCCCGTACCTCCGCCGGGGCAAACTGCAGGAGCGACTGAATGAGATAGGAGGCCGAGGCGTGTTGCATCAGACGCGCGAGATCCGCGCGGATGACGGGGTAGATCGCCCCAGAAGCCTCCCCTTCCACCCCGTCCACCTCAATCAGTCGCTGCAGCACGGGGGAACTCACGGGGTTCTGCGAGAGCGCGAGACTTTCGCGGTAGAGCGACTGACGCGCCTCCCGCCCGAGTCGACCGGGGTCGACGTCGATGAACCCGCGAAGAATCACACTTCGCACGGGATCCTGCGCGAGCTCCACGGCCGTCAACGCCTCGACCGCCTCGTTCGTTCCACCCTCCTGTTTCCCCACGCGGCGGTGGAAAAGCGCGCGCCAGATCGCCGCCCGGCTGCTTTCGTGGGATTTCAACGCCGCCACGACGACGGGCACCGTCGCCCGCCACGCGAGGATC